TTTGTTACATTTGACCACTCTCTATAAAACATTGTGCATTCATATTTCTTTCTACAAAATAATTTCAAGACCAAAGAAAACATTTCCGAACCACATTATGAAACAGTAGGCTGGCAAGTAATACGCACTTCGCTTACCGTGACTGATCATCGGCAATATTTCAGCCAAATCGTAACGAGAAGAACCTATACATTATAAAATTACAATGAATAAATTTAAAACATAAGTTCCTGTCGTCAATGACTAGAGTGTGACATATTTTGACTTCAAACTAGGATACAAATATATAGAAGAATATATACATTTCTTGGTCATAACGGGATATTCATGATCACGTGGCATCCAAGATTTGGTGCTGATAAACCTAGAACCGGTAACATGACGAATCTAGGAATCGAACCCAGAACCATAGGTTTCTGGCAAAATGTGGCGCCTTAGTATTGCCTCCAAGCATGATTATTACTAAGTGGTTGAAGTGAACAGATGTATGCTATTTTATGTTTATAAATCCGCTATATACAGTGACATTTTCCATAGCATATACGGTTCGATGGAGATTTCCGAACACAGATGATCATCCGCTCTGCTTGTGATTGCTAATGAACAGGAACTGACCTTTTGTTATGTGTGGGAGGAGCACACGAAGTTTCTGTTACATAGAAAGGAAATCAATAAAAAGCTGGAACCATTCCACGTGATAGTCTTCGAACATTTCTGGACAAATAGTAAATGGAATGTGTTCCTTCTTTGGGACTGTTCTGATTTTTGACAAATAATTCCTGTGACTCGAACATGAATAATGACACGGTTATGCATGGTTGAAATATCATTCACCAAAATGGGTGTTTCCGTGTACACCTCCCCGTACAGCAGGCAGTGTTGTCGAGGTAATCAAGCACTAGCGTACAAAGCAATACGTGTAATGAAATGTTGTTAACGTGATTGTCAGTCCCATGGCTCCTCTGTCGCCGATTGATTGCCGTATAAAGAGTCTCCACGGACATACAACAGTCTGCCTTTCAGTGCCATTAGTTATTCAAGAATAAAGTGGTACTCATCAGATGCATGCACACGCCCCGATATTTCGGAGACGTCATAGCGCCGGTATTTCGTGTTGTACTGTAACAGTAACGACATCTGTTTAACTGAGTGAGGTACTTAAATGAAGACGGAGCTGATCTTTTTATTTTGACACAACATCGGTGCCGCAGGTTCTATTTTCACAGGTTTCGTTTGAATATGTCACAAAGAGACATCTCTATATAATATTATTACTCTTTGTTCCATCGTCCCATTATATTCCTTAACGACCCTTCTAAAATCTTTGGTATATTTAATACCTAAATCAGGAGACGCTTAATAAAAGAACATATCACATGGCTGTTGCCCAATTGGCAACCTACTAGACATGAATAAGCAGTGAAAATGATAATGTTATATTCATTTTCCCAATTCCATTAATGTGAATACTGCTACAGTATGTATGTAATGCTGTTCAATAACTATACAATACGTCAGCTATATTTATTGCGGTATTCTTTATTAAGTGTGCACACCGATGTGGGATATGGTGATGCTTCTGTACATATCTGAACCATCGATGTACATCTCTCTGAAGTCACTGTATCCAGGCTATATCTGAACCATAGATGTACATCTCTGTGAAGTCACTGTATCAAGGCCGTATCTGAACCATAGATGTACATCGCTGTGAAGTCACTCTATCATGGCCATATCTGAAGCATCGATGTACAGCACTGTATCAAGGCTATATCTGAACCAATCGATGTACATCGCTGTGAAGTCACTCTATCAAGGCTATATCTGAACCGTCGAGCATCGATGTATCAACTATATCTGAACCGTCGATAAAGTCACTATATCAAGGCTATATCTGAACCATCGATGTACATCGCGGTAAAGTCACTGTATCAAGGCTATATCTGAACCATCGATGTACATCTCTGTGAAGTCACTGTATCAAGGCTATATCTGAACCGTCGATGTTGATCTCTGTGAAGTCGCTGTATCAAGGCTATCTGAAGGTCATATCTGAAGCATCGATGTCATATCTGAAGCATCGATGCACATCGCTGTGAAGTCACTGCATCAAGGCTATATCTGAACCATCAATATACATCGCTGTAAAGTCACTATATCGAGGCAATATCTGAAGCATCGATGTACATCGCGGTAAAGTCACTATATCAAGGCTATATCTGAACCATCGATGTTCATCTCTGTGAAGTCACTGTATCAAGGCCATATCTGAACCATCGACGTACATCTCTGTGAAGTAACTGTATCTGAACTACCCATGAACACCGATGTAGAGTCACTGAACGTACTCTATAGCTAAACTGTCAATGAACATCGATGTAGAGTCAACATGTCTAGGTGGCTATGTTTGAACTATCGATGTTCATCGGTGTACATGTCCTTCATCTAGACCATATTTGAACTCTCGGTATACCACGCTGTGGAATAACTACATCTAGTCACTACATCTGAATCAATGTTTCATAAATGATAAAATCTCCTTGTCTGTATCTTCATGTCACATTAATATCATTGCGTGAAACAATCTGAACCGTGTCCTTCTTCACGACCTGTGTTTACTAAAACATGGGACATGAATCGCAAGCTGACCCCCCGAGATGGGAGGCATACCTATACGTTACATATAATAAATTGTTGTTTGGAAACATCCAAAGGAAAACGAGGAAATTACATGGTGTGTCTTTTATTTGTTCATGGTTACAGAGGTTTCAATGTGCTTCCCGTTTGTTCGAAGTACAGAATGCCCATTTGAAAAATATGTTTATGCTCATTTCTATCTCTTAGTGGATTAAAATGACAGAACTGTTCGGTACAAACATTATGTTGGACAAATGAGATATAGTTGTATAGAAAATGTATTCCGATTGGTCGTGTCTGCAGATAGTGGCTGACCGTTACGCGTCATGGTCAAGACAGGCGTGCTGGCGTTTTGGGGGAGGATTTGATTCGCTGACAGTTCAAGCCAAAGACAGGCGGGTATTCAAAGACATTCTGGGTAGTAAATAAGTGTTTCGCCATAATGTCCAGTATTTAAAGGTGTAACGGGTTAATGTGAGGAGGGAAGTCCTACTGTCTGACGTTTTCCAGTTTGTCGACACCAACAGCACGGGTGTGGCTCTGACGATTCCAGAAACAATCAGGGCGAAGACGACACAGTGTTATGGAACAATGACATATACCTCACGTCAATTGTCGAAACGCCATGCTTAATATCATTCTCATCAACTAAATAATCGACATTTGGGTTCGGGTACTTAACTGTAGATAAACCTAGATACAGACATGGATATGCCATTTTACTCGTCCAGGCTGTGAAGTACAACAGTTGGTTTCAAATGTGACAAGTGACATGATTGACAGTGATAATAACACCATTCATGGAACATTGACCTCCGTTGCTCGACGATCTAGGGGGTGTTGATTGCATCCAAAACGTCTATGTGACATTTCACACACATGTAATTTGCGGGATAATTTCCGGTTGTGTTTGTTATCTTGATGGTTTAAATAATCAGGTTCATGGTGCATGTGTAAAACATAGGAGTTACTGGAGCTCACTTAGAAAGTAAATATTGTTTTCAGTATCTATGAATATATAAATATATGTAAGTACAAAATTGCGAGATTTTCCCGAAATAGAACGAGGGTTGTTTACTCAGGAAAGACAAAACCGTGGTAAACATTCAATCAGAAAAAGAATTTTACACTCTTAATTGTCAACATGTTCCTACAACTTACAACGGCATTCGTCAGAGTTTTTGTATTAATTGTGGGGTCACCCTCAAGCAATGAATTCCAAATTCAAGGCTGCTGTTCCTTATCAAGAAGCAAATAATTGCATTAGCATAAATTATCACGAACCCTTTCAAAGTGAAACGGCAGGGGCAGCGAATACAAGTTGTAGTTGAAAGCAGACAGATAACGACAAAATACTGGCGAAACGACCACAATGGTGACCATAATAGTACAATATGCGTTCGTGAAAGTGTGTAGCGTAAATGCACGTGTTTAATAATGCATGATTTGAGTGATCAACGCCGTCTAATGCCGGCTGGTCTCGCAGTTTCCTTTGAAATCTCTCAAATACACGGCTTAATGAAACTGCCCTCCTTAATGGGATACTTTTCTGTTACGTGTAAAATGTTAATAAACGGGAGCGACATCGTGGGACACAATAGATAGGTCGATGCCGCACCTTTAAGTAGAGAATGTGCATTGATATATCTCAGGAAAAGTCGATAAGTCGCTCACCGTGTGCCGCTCATATTCCAGACTGAACCCCGAATCTATTGCTCAAATGAGTATTCCCATGGTTCGAGTAAACTCTATTATTTTACAGCGTTAGTATAAAGCCCTCAATGTGACCTCTGTGCTATTTTAATTGGACACCAAAAACCTTGCAACAAATAAAGTATTTAAATCCTGTAACAACTGCATTGGTATTTGTTATTGGATAAATTGTTCTTTTCTCAAGGGACAGTAATTCATAACCGCAACGCTTGAATTAAATTTTCACAGGAATCAAGACGTCTTTTTATCAAATCCTAGACACGAGAGGAAGACACAGACTTGATGATGAAGAAATGCCATTCAATGAAAGCAATTTTCTGAATGATATGGACGATGTGAGGGGTTGACGGATTGTCTCTGTCACTTCCAATGGTGGTGAATTGTTTCCACATCACTGTAGCGTGGAAAACTACACAAATCGCAGGAAAAGGTATGTATGCAACACAGATCTAAGATGAACTGTTTCCTCTGGTCTTCAGTTGGATGTGTACACATGTGTGGAGTTAACCGAGACATGTCAATACATACATGTGAAAAAAGACAACATTACTTACAAACATGCTTTGGCACATTTTATCAGTAAACGTCAAACTGGGCAAGACGTTTTAATGAAATGACGATGAACTAAGAACTGAAGCTTGCTCACTTACCTGTAGTCAATCCGAGAATAAACAAGGGGACAATGGTGTACAAATCCTCAAACATATTGAACTTTAGTTTAGAATGCGTTTTCAAAACACTGAAACTATCGTAAATCCACACTCGACGTAAGCATCGTTGAGTATATCCAGTGTTTTAGCGCTTCCATTGCTCGCCGTGTGCTCTTCTCACGTGTGTTCTACTTTCTCCCAGTTTCATGCAATTGTCTTCCTCACTCCATGCTGCCCTGTCAGCCGAACGACGAGGAGTTTGGCGTATACTACCAACTTTACAGGTGCTTGCTGCTCGCTCCGAGGCAGACACGCGGTAGCTTTAGAACGAAGCCCTGTGTCCCCTCCGCAATGCCAGATGTATTGCTATTTCACTGGTGTGGCTTAATCGTGGAAATATCGAACGATTGAATGAACTAGCGTTAGGGAACTCGTGTGTCGAGTTCTGTTTAATACTCCATGTGAAGCCTAGCATGCATCGCAGGCAGTATGCACAGTCGTAGCCACCTCGTTCATATCTGCGCTAGCGGTGGAGGCAGATGAAGAGCAAGGATATATCACAACATTCTTTATTCTGCCTCCTCCTTCCACTTATGTATAATGTACACACGGATTGTTTGCTCCAAGAAGTGCTTCATCATTGAAATGAATTAAGGATGAAACCATTTGCACGTTTGACTTGACTTAACGGCCCAATGAATTGAGGAGCCCAGGCGGCCCATCTGAAGTACCACGTGGAAAGTGTTCTGCTGACAGGCAATAGTGTTCTGTTTTAACCAATCAACGTCTTAGTCTTCTTTTGGTATATTTGGCTTTTATTTCGAGTGCTTCCATCGGGTTGATGGTTATGACAATCGAGCAGTTTAACCTGACCAGCCGAAAATAATGATTGTATGAATCTTCTTTAGATAACGTGTTCGGGTTGTGTTTGGGTGTCATTTACCTGTGACGTTTGAAATATGATAAGACATAGATACTGGAACTGCGTTCATGGCGTGCACTTAGGAGATACAAGCAATATGTATATCAATGAAACACATTCAAAAAGTTGTCTGTAGAATATAATCGGTTCCAGACATGATTCTTTTATACAACAGTAGAGTGTACATATTAATGACAGACCCTATGGTGGTTGCTGCATGCGCAACTTCTAGCTTCGTACCAGCTTTCATTTGATACTGCAGCGCATCTTATAAGCCCACTTCATATAATTTTCCTGGCAAAAATAAAACGTTGGAATCGTGTGCCTAGGGTGATTGGTTGTGTACTTTATCTGACAACGAACGATATGTGATATGTGTCAGCCAATCATATTTTTTCGTTTCAAATAAATGCCACAGGGTTGACTTCAGTATTTGGAATTGTCATCATTATCCATAAAATATCAAATAACGAGAAAACATATTGCGATTGTGAGTTCCACTTTTTTTATGTCACGTGACACATGACGTCTTTTGCATTATGTGAAAAGTGATGAAATATGCAGTTCGTTCAAGTGATATCACTTTTTGATTTGATCGTTCAGGAGCTATTAATAGTTGATGGGTGATTCAGGTGCCACAATACGTGTTAATTGCAGATCTGTAACACACAAATAATAAATCTATATTGCTTCAAAGCATTCACTGCAGACATAATTTACTGTATATATTGTAGCTCTGAAAAAGAACACTCAGTACTATAATACATTAACATGACGTATATCCTTCAAATAGGTTCGGTATACATCTTTGAAATGCTGCAAAAAATATAAGGATGAAGCCCAGAGGCTTGACGAAGGATTATGTATCGCCGAGTTTTTGGTTTGTGATATCAGTATGTCTATTCAGTAGGTTCGTGGAGTGGGAAGCCTTAACCTTACAGAACGTTGGCCACGCCATCGGCATGAGTGTACATAGTAGCACAAAGTGGTGCTCTTGTCACAGCTGAACGAACCAAGACTCCTGTGTAGTGTAATTATTTAATATTGTGTATCAACTGTAAGGTCCGGGTTGTGGTTGTGTAGAACAGGTTGCTGGAGCACTCATTGACGCTTTCCCATAAGGGCTAAACCAACCGGATGTATGTTGTGTCCTGGCCACTCAAGAGATTACCTAGACTGCGCAAGGAGATACACGCAATGTGTATTTTGGTTAGCTAAAAAGTTCATCATAAATCCTTATTACACATTTCTTGTTCAGAGCGACAGAGAGATAATTATCAACAACTGTTCTATTTCAGGGTGTACAATCTTTTCTCCGACAGGAACTAGTGTGCGTTTGTAATCTTCACGAGAGCCTCTGTGCTGCCAGCTGGTGATTTGACAAGTGTTGAGACCGTTGTTTCGGGTATATAGGTGGACAGCGTCAATGTTTGACAAGTGTTGAGAACGTTGTTTGGGGTATATAGGTGGACAGCGTCAATGTTTGACAAGTGTGGAGAACGTTGTTTAGGGTATATAGGTGGACAGCGACCATGTTTGACAAGTGTTGAGAACGTTGTTTAAGGTATATAGGTGGACAGCGTCAATGTTTTACAAGTGTTGAGAACGTTGTTTGGGGTATATAGGTGGACAGCGTCAATGTTTAACAAGTGTTGAGAACGTTGTTTAGGGTATATAGGTGGACAGCGTCCATGTTTGACAAGTGTTGAAAATGTTGTTTAGGGTATATAGGTGGACAGCGTCCAGGTTTGACAAGTGTTGAGTTTACAGCGTCCAGGTTTGACTAGTGTTGAGAACGTTGTTTAGGGTATATCTAGGGAGACAGCGTCCAGGTTTGACAAGTGTTGAGTTTACAGCGTCCAGGTTTGACAAGTGTTGAGAACGTTGTTTAAGGTATATTTAGGGGGACAACGTCCAGGTTTGACAAGTGTTGAGAACGTTGTTTAAGGTATATAGTGGGACAGCGTCCAGGTTTGACAAGTGTTGAGAACGTTGTTTAGGGTATATAGTGGGACAGCGTCCAGGTTTGACAAGTGTTGAGAACGTTGTTTAGGGTATATAGGTGGACAGCGTCCAGGTTTGACAAGTGTTGAGAACGTTGTTTAAGGTATATCTAGGGAGACAGCGTCCAGGTTTGACAAGTGTTGAGTTTACAGCGTCCAGGTTTGACAAGTGTTGAGAACGTTGTTTAAGGTATATTTAGGGGGACAACGTCCAGGTTTGACAAGTGTTGAGAACGTTGTTTAAGGTATATAGTGGGACAGCGTCCATGTTTGACAAGTGTTGAGAACGTTGTTTGGGGTATATAGGTGGACAGCGTCCATGTTTGACAAGTGTTGAGAACGTTGTTTTGGGGTATATAGGTGGACAGCGTCCAGGTTTGACAAGTGTTGAGAACGTTGTTTAGGGTATATCTAGGGAGACAGCGTCCAGGTTTGACAAGTGTTGAGTTTACAGCGTCCAGGTTTGACTAGTGTTGAGAACGTTGTTTTAAGGGTATAGGGGACAACGTCCAGGTTTGACAAGTGTTGAGAACGTTGTTTAAGGTATATAGTGGGACAGCGTCCATGTTTGACAAGTGTTGAGAACGTTGTTTGGGTATATATAGGTGGACAGCGTCCAGGTTTGACAAGTGTTGAGAACGTTGTTTGGGGTATATAGGTGGACAGCGTCCAGGTTTGACAAGTGTTGAGAACGTTGTTTGGGTATATAGGTGGACAGCGTCCAGGTTTGACAAGTGTTGAGAACGTTGTTTAGGGGACAACGTCCAGGTTTGACAATGAGAACGTTGTTTAGGGTATATAGGTGGACAGCGTCCAGGTTTGACAAGTGTTGAGAACGTTGTTTAGGGTATATAGGTGGACAGCGTCCAGGTTTGACAAGTGTTGAGAACGTTGTTTAGGGTATATAGGTGGACAGCGTCCAGGTTTGACAAGTGTTGAGAACGTTGTTTAGGGTATATAGGTGGACAGCGTCCAGGTTTGACAAGTGTTGAGAACGTTGTTTAAGGTATATAGGTGGACAGCGTCCAGGTTTGACAAGTGTTGAGAACGTTGTGTAAGGTATATAGGTGGACAGCGTCCAGGAGTGACAAGTGTTGAGAACGTTGTTTAGGGTATATAGTGGGACAGCGTCCAGGTTTGACAAGTGTTGAGAACGTTGTTTAAGGTATATAGGTGGACAGCGTCCAGGTTTGACAAGTGTTGAGAACGATGTTTGGGGTATATTATGGGATAGCGTCCAGGTTGCAGAAGTGCTGACACCGTTGTTTAGGGTATATAGTGGGACAGCGACCAGGGATAGGCACAGTTCATGGCCTGTATTCATTTACATCATCTCAATACACTCAACCCGTTTAACTGCGGCGATAATTAACCCCTACGATACACTTGTCGGAGAAATGCATCTGGTTCAAGTGAGATTTACCAAGTAATGGATGCTGGGTGAGGACGTCCACCTACTGCAGTGAGTAAAGGTCACTTCCACAATATCAAACGTCAGTCTGGGCTGGTACCAGCAGCCGCGGTACACCTACAAAATACTGGATACCTACCAGCCATATTGTTTAGTGTCACGTCACTTAACCCTAACCCTAACCTTAACCATAACCATAACCCTAAATCTAAACCTAAACCTTACCCTAATCCTAACCCTAAACCTTACCCTAACCTTAAGTAAACCCGCGTGCTTTCAAAGATGGCGGGAGGTATCCGGTATTCCGTAGTCTTACCGCAGCCGCACATACACATACATGCACGTTGTCATATGAGCGAAATATTCTCAAGCACGACTTTAAACTCAATTATTTCACCTCACCTCATATCTCATTAACCATAATAGTGACCAGATGTAATATGTTCTACTCACATTTCCTCTGTCCCGACTTCCAGAAAACATCTGTCATTTCATTTCTCATGATTAGGTTATTTTTGTAAACAGATTGATTAAATATATTGAAGTTTTTAACGGCACATCGTCTGTGAGATATATATAATGCGACAGATATATGAGTTTGTTCATTAAATGTTTTGGTGATGTACACCATTTTAGGTACATTCACCGTTTATTAGGTGAACTTGCATTACTCTGATATTTAGTTAGATCAAATTGTGATATTTAGTTAGACCAAGACTGTGATATTTAGTTAGATCAAGACTGTGATATTTAGTTAGATCATGATTGTGATATTTAGTTAGATCAAGGCTGCGATATTTAGATAGACCAAGACTGTAATATTTAGTTAGATCAAGGCTGTGATATTTAGTTAGATCATGATTGTGATATTTAGTTAGATCAAGGCTGTGATATTTTGTTAGATCATGATTGTGATATTTAATTAGACCAAGACTGTGATATTTAGTTATATCATGATTGTGATATTTAGTTAGATCATGATTGTGATATTTAGTGAGATCATGATTGTGATATTTAGTTAGATCAAGGCTGTGCTAGTTAGTTAGATCAAGACTGTGCTATTTAGTTATATCATGATTGTGATATTTAGTTAGACCAAGACTGTGATATTTAGTTAGATCAAGACTGTGATATTAAGTTAGATCATGATTGTAATATTTAGTTAGATCATAATTGTGATATTTAGTTAGACCAAGACTTTAATATTTAGTTAGATCAAGACTGTGATATTTAGTTAGATCATCATTGTGATATTTAGTGTAGATCATGATTGTGATATTTAGTTAGACCAAGGCTGTGATATTTAGTTAGATCAAGACTGTGACATTTAGTTAGATCATAATTGTGATATTTAGTTAGACCAAGACTGTGATATTTAGTTATATCAAAACTGTGATATTTAGTTAGATCATGATTGTGATATTTAGTTAGATCATGAATGTGATATTTAGTTAGATCAAGACTGTGATATTTAGTTAGATCAAGACTGTGATATTTAGTTAGATCAAGACTGTGATATTTAGTTAGACCAAGACTGTGATATTTAGTTAGATCATGATGATATTTGTGATATTTGAGTTAGATCAACTGTGATATTTAGTTAGATCAAGACTGTGATATTTAGTTAGATCATGATTGTGATATTTAGTTAGATCAAGACTGTGATATTTAATTAGACCAAGACTGTGATATTTAGTTAGATCATGATTGTGATATTTAGTTAGACCAAGACTGTGATATTTAGTTAGATCATGATTGT